GCCGCCGACGGCGAGGAGGGGCGGGCGCAGCCGGAGGCGGCGCCCGAGGCGCGGGCGCTCACCGATGGCGAGGCCGACGGCGGGGCGGCTGTGGCGCTGGCGGCAGCGGCTGACGCCGTCGACACGGCGGCTGCCGGCCAGGCGGATGCCACCCCCGAGGCGCTGACTGCCGCCGGCAGCGAGCCGCACACCCCGGCTGCGCCCGAGGCCGCCACCGCCGCCGACGCGCCGGCCGCTGCCGCAGGCCCCGACGCCGGCGATGACGCCAGGCCTGCAGCCGCCGCGACGCCGCCGGCGGCCGCGGGCCAGGCGCTGTCAGAGGATGGGCTCACCCACCCCTGGGCGGCAGCCACGCCCCACCAGCAGGGGGCGTCTTCCGACGAGGAGGTCGCCGTCATAATTGAGGATCCCGAGGAAACAGGCAATGCAGCTGCCGAGGTCGAGCATCTGATCGCGGCGGCGGCGGCGGCAGAAGTGGGTGCGCTGGAGGAGGACACAGCCATTGAGGTCGAGTTTGACGCTGGCGACGGCGCCGCCATTTGCGACGCGGCGCCCGGCGCCGGCGACGGCGCTGGCGCCGAGGCCCGCGCGCATGCGGGGATTGACGCGGAGCCCGAGCCGTCCGCCGCCGCCGCCGGGGCGGCGGCCGGGGACGCGGCCGCAGGGGCGGAGGGGGCCGCGGGCGTGCGCGGCGAGGGCGGCTCCGACGGCGAGGAGGCCGAGGCGCGGCCGGCGCCGGCTGGGGGCGAGGGCGGGGCATCCGTCGAGTGGGCTGCCCTGTCGGGGTCCCTGGGGTCGCTCGATGAGTGGGAGGCAGAGTCTGAATGGTTTCGGACGACATGGGGCTCTGTTCCGCGGCGGTCACACCAGGGCTGGCAGTGGGACCCAGACTCCCTATGCCTGACGCCTGATCAGCTGCGGGCGGCCCAGGGCGAGCCAGAGGGCAGCGGCTGCGGCGGCGCGGCGGGCGCGGGCGATGAGGAGGACGGCGCCGCGGCGGAGGGGGAGGGGACAGAGGGGGACCAGGAGGGGTCGGCGGCGAGGGTCGGCGGGGGCGTCGCGTGGGATCTTGAGTATGAGGAGTTTGCCGCTTTTGAGGAGTCCGAGGAGTCAAAGGAGTCCGAGGAGGTTGAAACGCGCGATGAGTTTGACGAAATCGTGGCCGTGCTCGACGCGGCGGCGGCGGCGACGGTCGCGCAGGTGGAGGTGGCCGCGGCTGCGGCCGCGCTGCCGCGCGGCTGGGGCCCCGCGGCGGCGGCGGCGGCCGGCGCGGGCGAACTGGCGGGGGAGGAGGGGGACGAGGGCGGCTTCTTGGTGGAAGTGGCGGCCGAGCCAGCGGGCCCCGTTGCTGCAGCAGAGGACGACGGCGCACGCGCCGCACACAGCCAGGATGGCGGCCCGCCCAGCGGCGCCGAGGGGCAGGCCTCATCCGAGGGGCTGCCGGCGGCGCCGCAGGCGTCTGCCGCCCCATCGGCGCCGGCCGGCGCGGCCGACACAGATCTCGGAGGCGCCGCGGCCCCCGCCAGCGATGACGAGGGCGCTGGCGCAGCCGGCGCGACCTCGGCGGGGTGCGATCTGCCCTCCGAGGTTGGCCTGGACGATCTGAGCAACCAGATCTTTGACGAGATGCAGGCCCTCTGCCTGGCGCTGGCCCGCGGCCGCGCGGCGCTGCTGCCGACCGGCGCGCGCGACGAGGCGGCGGCGCCGGACGCGAGCAACACAGAGTGCTTCAGCGGTGAGCGGGGGGGGGGGGCGGCTTTCGTGTGTGCGTGTGTGTGTGTGCGTGTGTGTGTGTGTGTGTGTGTGTGTGTGTGTGTATGTGCCTGCGTGGTGGGTGCACGGGCGTCTTGCAGACAGGCGCGCGCACACGTCAGCCTTGCGGGCTGACGTGGCCTCATCTCATCTGAGTGCCAACCAGCAACCCTGACTGTGTGAGAGATACGCATGTGCACGCTTACAATCTCTTGTACGCATGCACGCACGTAAGCGCGCGCGCGCGCGCACACACACACACACACACGCACACGTGCCCCGGGGCGGAAGCTCACAGACACACTTACACACGTGAATGCGCGCACACACTCAGACAAAACCACCCACACACGCACACACACACACACACACACACACACACACACACACACACACACACACGCCAACCCTCTCTGTCTCCCCCC